AAAAGATTTTTTTGAAATGTCACACTAGTTGTGCCCCTTAAAGGCTTTTTCCCAAGCATATTTAGAGTAAATAAAGCAAAAAAAATTTTTGGAAAAAAAAATTTCTAATTGTATTTCTCCCCTTTGTCAGATAATGCAGGTTTGCTTTTTTTAACGCTTGACAAATAACCAATGTTAAGGGGTTATTTACCTTCTTTTTCAAAGAAGTTAACAATTTTTTTGCTGAATCCTAAAGTATATCCCCTAGAGCACATTTTTCCAAATTTTTAAAGAGATCCGAATAATAGTTCGACGATGACTTGTAAGTTTGTCTGCTCGACTTCAATAGTTGCCTATGCTCAACGTAAAACTTTGAATGCGATTATCTCAAAGTCGTGTTTTTCCAAAAGTGCCTTTGCTGTGACCGCGATTGCACACGAACTATTTGATCGATCTTCAATTTTTTTTAAATTATTCGTAATGATTGTGCTGAGTTCGTGAACGATTCAGTTTTTATGCGCCAATATCGATTTTGCAGATCAGAATTTTTTAATAAAATTTTTAGAACTCGAAAAATCAACTTTTTGGAAAAATTGTTACTGTATGCAGAAAAAACCAAATATTCTTGAAAATAATCGTTCACGAACTGGAAATAATACTATACTAATACAAATTTTTTGGTTTTTTGATTTCTGTTGACCTGCTGGACTTCCATCTTGGTCACCGCAAGCCGCTATAAAAAGAAAGGGTTCCATAACTTCGTAAATTATTTATATTTTTTCAAGAGCAAACGCTTTTTGTTTCGATAAAAACATGTACTATCAATAAATAATAACTTCAGTGTCATAAAATAATTGCTACACACCTGAAAAAAAATCCAAAGTTCCCTCAATTTTCGCTCAAAAGGTATATAACCCCTTAAGCAGTGCTCTCCTGACCGTCCACTGGCTTACATTTTTATTGATGGCCATAGAAGCACCCTTTGGTGTTAGCAGCTTATCTTTTCGCATTTTGGACGTCATAAGTCGATCATCTGAGTCTGTCAATAATTTTTTTCGCATTCACATTTTACAATTCGCCTTTTTTGAGCTGCAGTCACCGCAGACTGGCTTATACCGAGCCTTTCGGATATATTTACTGAAGAACAGCCCTTCTCAGTGAGACACACAACATTATTTTCAATTTCTGGAGATATTTTTATACCCTTGCAGAGCAAAAGGGTATTTTAATTTCAGTCAGAAGCTTGCAACGCAGTGAAGGAGACACCTCAGACCCCATAAAGTATATACAGTCGAATCCCGATATTTCGTACCCCGCTAAATCGAAAATCGCGATAATTCGTAAAAAATTCTGTTCCCTTGAAAAAAATCTCGATAAATCGAATTCCCGTCTAATTCGTAGAAAAAAGTGGTACCCTTGCTATTTCGAATTATCGGGACTCGACTGTACATATGTATATTCTTGATCAGCATCACGAGCAGAGTCGGAATTCGTCTGTACGTCTGTCCGTTTCCGCGCAAACTAGTCTATCAGTTTTAAAGCTATCGTGCTGAAACTTTCCCAAAAGTTGTGTAGTTGTTGCACGCAGTATATAAGTCGGAACGGGCCGGATCGGCCGACTATATCGGATAGCTCCAATACAAGAGAATGAAATAAAAAATGCTCACTCTGTTGTTTTTTATCAGATCCACTTGATTTCTTCAAGATAGCGTTCTCAAACTGTTATTAAATTTCGGATCAAATTTGATCTAAATCGTATAACTCTATCATATAGCTGCCATAGGAGAGATCGAAAAATATACACTGCCGCTCAACTGAATAGGTTCATGATCTCAGAGGTAGTAACTTGTCTATAATTCCTAAACCAGTGTACCGATTTCCATAATTTTTTTTTTCTTTAATTCTTCAATCATTTTATAATAAAATGCTGAAGAAAGTTTTTCACAAACATATTATTTATTCCTTATTTAATTTATTCTCCTGAAAGGTTAACGAAATTCGTAATTTTTTTTCGGTCATCTGAATAGGTTCAACCTAAAACAATTAAAATTATTTAAGTAACTAAGGATAATTTTCATATTTTTTGAACTTAGCTGATACTTATGAACATTTTTAAAGTACATTTTACTAATTTTAATAAAAAGTGAACCCTCCGTTGTCCGATATAACATCTTATACACGACCGAGAAGCGAGCTATACAAATTGTGCAGTATTTGCAGTGAAATTGTTGTCCAGGCTATTTTAATTGCCTTAACTAAAGTTGTTTTGCAATAAAATTACCTGCCTCCTTCATATATCTTGCGCGATAGCAACCCCATACGTTTTCGATTATATTAAGGTCAGGTGAATATGGGGGCCATTCAAGTAAATCCACATTTTGAGCCTTAATCCACTCTTTTACCACCCTAGCTGTATGATGGGAGCGTTATCTTGCTGGTAAGACCATTTGATAAAGTGAAAAGTATTTGAATAATCAGGAAACGCAGCCTTTATGATAGATATGTAGGTTTTCGCGCTCGTTTTGCAAGTAACAAATTAAAGGTCGCAAGTGCCAAAGACTGATACCGACCCCCACACCAAAATCAATTTAATTTAGAAGCGTAAATCAATAGCTACAACTATTATTATCACGATCTTCGAAAGGAAGAGCATTTCCTTAGCCGTCGACATAACATAGCTGTGAGGGTGGGGTAATGGTGTGGGGGTCGGTATCAGTCTTTGGCACTTGCGACCTTTAATTTGTTACTTGTAAAACAAGCGCGGAAACCTACATATCTATCATAAAGGCTGCGTTTCCTGATTATTCAAATACTTTTCACTTTATCAAATGGTCTTACCAGCAAGAAAACGCTCCCATCATACAGCTAGGGTGGTAAAAGAGTGGATTAAGGCTCAAAATGTGGACTTACTTGAATGGCCCCCATATTCACCTGACCTTAATATAATCGAAAACGTATGGGGGTTGCTATCGCGCAAGATATATGAAGGAGGCAGGTAATTTTATTGCAAAACAACTTTAGTTAAGGGGTTATATCCAGTTGCGAGGCCAAAAAAATGAGCTTTTTTGAAAATTATTTTTGGAGAGGCTATTTATTGTATGTATACGTGTTATATATGAAAAGATAGGTAATTTTTTCTAGTTTTAGAATACATTTTTAAAGAAAAAAATTTTTGGACTCCGTCGGTCCTGTAGAGGATCTCCCGAGGGTCCACTTCAAAAAAGGGTTTTGCGTTGAGGAAAATATCTCCGGTCCAAATGATCAGAAATAAAAAAAACCAGAAGGATTACGTAAAGAATAGACAAATGCTGGTAATGAGACTTGGGATTTTCAAAATTTTGATTTTTGACAAAATGGCGGCTTCCCAAACATAAAACTTTGTTTTTGGCACAAAAATTTTTGTCGGAGCCAAAATTCCAAGTCTCATTACCTGAAAAAAATATCTAAGAAGAGAATGTGAAAGTTTCAAGTCAATCGGTCAAGCCGTCTCTGAGAAATTTTCCTCACCGACTTTGAAGACATCGTTTCGAGAAAAACGCATTTAAAGTTTTGGCTACTAGTTGAACTACATGGGAGACGTCTTTACAAATACACTGATTACTCCAATACTATTTACCAGAATACTTTGAAATTTTCAGAAAATCTTCTTAGATATATATACATTCAAAATAGGCAAAAATAAAAATTTCGATTTTTTCAAAATCGCAACTGGATATAACCCCTTAAGGCAATTAAAATAGCCTGGACAACAATTTCACTGCAAATACTGCACAATTTGTATAGCTCGCTTAAATAATTTTAATTGTTTTAGGTTGAACCTATTCAGATGACCGAAAAAAATTATGAATTTCGTTAACCTTTCAGAAGAATAAATTAAATAAGGAATAAATAATATGTTTTTGAAAAACCTTCTTCAGCATTTTATTATAAAATGATTGAAGAATTAAAGAAAAAAAATTATGGAAATCGGTACACTGGTTTAGGAATTATAGACAAATTACTACCTCTGAGATCATGAATGGAAATAATGGAAATAAATTGATAACATCGTTGATTTTTATCCCACGAGCCTGATTTTTTGAATATCCAGTTTTTTAACAACCCTTATATTGAGAAAAAAGTTTCATAAAAATCAGACAACTATATCTTATAGCTGCCATAGGAAAGATCGAAAAATCTATATTGGAAATAACGGAAATAAAATGATAACATCGTTATTTCTCTTCATTTTGGAATATAGAGAGTTCTAACGACTCATGAATAACAACTTAAATTTTATCAAAATCAGACGGCTATATCATATAGCTGCCATATGAACAATAGTCAAAAATATGGAAAATTAATAGAAAAGTCGTCGTAGCTTCGATGTTGTTTAGCCCTTGTGTATTCTGTTCCAAATATTTGATGATTGCAAGGGTATATAAGCTTCGGCTTGCCGAAGCTGGCTTCTTTTCTTGTTTTTTATGAATCTTCTCAATGTGAAGATTAAGTGACTTGACGGAAGCATGATAAAGAACACACGTTTTGCAAGTTCGACTTGATAGCCGTCGGACAATAGTAATCGTAGGGTATTTGCAGGAAGTCTTTGGGTCAAGCACTTAAACTTAGAGCTAAATTGGCCTCCTTCATCCAAAATCAGCTTACATACGTCAACTCGCTATAGTATACAAACGAAACTATACACTGAGAAAATTTTGACAACACTGCAGCTCACGGTCGAGGGGCGCCCCGACTTATGTATACTCTTTTAATGTTTAATTTCTTCAAATATTAGATTAATATGCCATTCGTGTAAAAAAATAATTTTTCTTCCGATGACGTAATCATCATCTAATCTATCCTACCCCCATGCCATCCAAAATAAGCAATACATATACATATTCTATGTTTGGCAAGTCTAAAACAATTGTAATCAAAAATGGTCAAGGTGGTTTGGTTATGTTAATAAAGTTATTTGTTAGACATAATTTTGCTAAATTATATATTTTTTAATAATCGAAATTCAAAACTTTTATCCGCAGCGAAGGAGGATTCTTCAAGGCACATCTTTATTTTCCCAAAGAATATCCATTGCGTCCTCCCCGAATGAAGTTTGTCACAGAAATTTGGCATCCAAATATTGAAAAAAACGGAGATGTTTGTATTTCTATCCTACATGAGCCTGGAGACGATAAATGGGGGTATGAGAAGGCATCGGAGCGCTGGTTACCCGTACACACAGTGGAGACTATCTTGATATCTGTAATATCAATGCTGGCTGATCCCAATGATGAGTCTCCGGCAAATGTAGATGCAGCTAAAGAATGGAGAGAATCGTATACTGACTTTAAACGTAAAGTTGCACGTTGCGTCCGGAAAAGTCAAGAAGAGTGCTCGTGAAGCAGATCGCCCTAACTTTGTATATTTATATAAAAGATTTTATACATTAAAAGGATTAACTGAATTGTGTAGAAATTAAAGTGTTTCGTTGGGACCGTAATAGTTATTATATTAATTTTAACGCAAAATTTGCAGTTATGATTATTTTGTAGATTGATTTTGTACAATTTGTACCAATGATAATCATAATGCGGAAAAACAATATATAAATGCATACGAAATTATTATACATATAGTGTTTACTATGTCCTTGCTTATGTCACTGTGCTTGTGTGCTGACCAACTTACATAAATTCTTCAACATCAGCATGCCAGTAATAAAGTCTGATTATCTATGCATTTCTATATGACTGAAACTGTACTTTTACAAGTACAGTAGAATCCGGTTATAGCGACTTTCAAGGGACCGACCCGGAGGACGCACTAAGCAAAAGGAGCAAAAAAAAATTTTTTTTGTTTATTTTATGGTTGCTATGTTCGTTATAGGTTTTTAAAATAAATCAAATTAATTTTTAAAATAAAACGGAAAATTTAATAAATTTAATTCAAAAACATATGTTTTTCAAAATACTGAAAACTAAATGAGCTCATTATTGCACATTTTGCATTTTCCGAATTTACGCATTCAGTTTTACTCGAAAAAACAACAACACGCAGTGTGACGTCGGCATTCCACTCTCTCTCGCAGCAGCGTAGTTAAGGCGACAGCTAAAACTAACAGAGAGTAGTGACAGTGTAAGAGCGTTCTTGTCGCTGCTACGCATACAAGGGCAAGGGTGCCGATCACTGATAAATACATACGAGGTGTGTTCAAAAAGTGTCGCGAATTTTGCGTTTTTTTCAAAAATTATTTATTGATTCATGAATATCTATTTTGTCCCCTTCAAAGTAATCCCCATGAGATATTATGCACTTGTGCCAACGGTTTTTCCAATCTTCGAAGCACTTTAAGAAATCATTTTTTTTGAAGTGAAACTTCTTTAGGAGCGTTATGGATTTTCGGGGACGGAGTAAAACCGATTCATGACCTTCACGAAAAAGCGAGGATCCCCATCCCTCTCCAACCGCTGACGAACGATCTCTCTATCCTCTCTCGCTCTCAGCGCCCTCGCGCAAAGTTGAGAGCGTAAAAATCTAAAAATAGAATCCGGTTGCGTGTGTGAGAACAAGCAACTCCGAATGGATGCTTACTTGAGCGAGAAGACGATTTTTAAGCCGAAATCATTTCTGTGCCAAAACGAATTCATTTACAGCAGAAGAAAAAAGGGTGAGAGGTGTGAGTGTCAAAAGAAATTCTAATTGAACAGGTTGCATACAGATATTAACAGTTTAATTGGTGTATTAGCTTATTACAGCTTAAGTATGCATTAACTGATTTTTAATAAATTTTTGTATGTTCTATAATTAAAATGTTTTATTTATTTACAATGTTAAGGCTAATTGGTTTGAAGGTTAGGTAGTTTTAGTATTTACAAATAACATGATGCATTTCAACTTACCACTCGTCATTTAATAATTCAATAAATCATTTTCCATAAAATACAAATATGTACATATTTGATAAATTTGCTTTTCTAAATTTTAAATTCAGAAACAAAATTTAATTAATAATTTCTAATATTGACAAAAAACACGTGACATTTTTATTTACAATTCGTCATTTCAGATTGCAATAAGTCGTTTTGCGTAAAATATAAATATGTAACAATATTTCATAAATTCTCTTGACAAAATTTTAATTTAAAACCTGGAATTTCTATAGTTATCATTAATTTATAATGATTTTGTATAAATTTAAATTGAGGTCAGGTATTTTTACAATTTACAAAAAAATCACGAGGAATTTTAATTTTATATTCAACATCTGGGATTTTACTATATTATTTTTAAAAAATAATACCTGTAGAAATCGTCCGATTTTAATGAAATTTAATTCGACATTCAATAGAAAAAATAGACAAATTCCAAAAATCATGCTTGTTTAATGAAAAACAACTATGTTATCATTTTATTTCCGTTATTTCTATATAGATTTTTCGATCTTTCCTATGACAGGTATATGATTTACATTCTTTTTACTCCACCCGGGAGCTTAGAGCCTCTACAATTTCTTGTAGAGGATTCAATTATCATTGATTTTCGATCGTACCGGTGATTAGCCAGTAGCGACTTATCCTAGCGGTGGGGTTGCCATCTGGCGCCATCTAGGAGTGACGAAAGTTCTATTGTTGGGTCCATAGTAACGTGGACGGGGGAGTGCGGGTCCGGGGAGCCAAAATTTGTTACTAATGTTAAGTGAGCGATAGAGCATAGAAGTGGTGGAGATTTGGAAAAAGAGACCGTTTCTTTTTCTCGGGGAGCCTGGGACTCGACTCGAACCCGGGCCTTCCGGACCGGAGGCCAGCGCTCTACCTGCTGGGCCACCGTCCCCCCATTATGTATGTATGTATATGATAACGTTGGTGAATTTTTCTCGATTTAAGGGTTATTAAAAAACATCACATTTTAAAATGTGGATTAAACACAACGATATTATAATTTTTGTCCAATGCAGCTATATGATAGAGTTACCCGATTTGGTTCAAATTTAATCCGAAATTCAATAGTAGTTAGAAAACGCCATCTGGAAGAAATAACGTCGAACTGATCAAAAACAACGGCGTGAGAATTTTTTATTTCATTCTCTCGTATGGGAGCTATCTGATATAGTCGGCCGATCCGGCCCGTTCCGAATTATGTACTGCATGCAATAACTACACAACTTGTGGGAAAGTTTCAGCTTTAAAACTAAGAGACTAGTTTGAAGAGAAACAGACAGGAGGACAGATGGACAGACGTATTTCGATTCTGATCGTGATGCTGATCAAGAGAATATATATATGAACTTTATGGGGTCTGAGGTGTCTCCTTAATAGGTGTTGGGTCAGTGAGCTTTTTTACTAACCGTTACCTTGTGCCCAAGTAAATAAAAAACGCACAAATTTTAGCTTAAATAATGCACTTATTTATTACTGGCACCAAGGCCTTAAATTCACAGAGTTATTGTTTGTTGTAGATTTAGTTAGGCAGGCAGACCGAATTGTCTGTGCCTTTTTACAGCGATAAGGTATGTTGGGCGGGTAGACCGATTTGTCTGTGCCTTTTTGCAGCGAAAAAGTATATTAGCAGGCAGACCGATTTGTCTGTGCTTTAGACGAAAGTATATAACCGAGATTTGGCAGGCGATCAGCGATCGTGCCTTGTGTAAGCGAGTACAGATTCGAACTGGGATGAAGCTTGCCGTGGACTAAGGCCAGGAAGCGATAAGCGAAAGAGTGCAAAAGTAGTTAGAAATGACAATTAGAACAGTGTTGCCGCGCAGGGCAAATAGCAAAACAAAAGGCAAACATCGAGAATTTGAATTACGTTACGATTTGAATTTAGTGACTGATTTAGGCTGCGGCATGACTGAACATACTCCCCCCGTTGGAGGACCAGGGCTTTCAACCAGATTCAGCTTCGGCAGCACGCACAGCTTGCGGACAGCCCTTCGAGAGATTCGAGCCACACGAGCAACTCCATCAGATCCAGGCACCAATTCCATGATCCTGGCTAGTGGCCATTTAAATGGAGGCAGAGTGAAGACGACCTCGTTGATTTGTAGCACAGGTTTGGGAGTGCGCCGCTTTGACCGTTGCTGTAACAGGGTCAAGTACTCTTCACGACACCGTGACCAGAAGATTTGTTGGAAGTAGGAAATTCTCTGCCAGCGGTCCAAACGGTTGAAGTTCAGCTTTGTGACGTCAGGCTCAGAGTACAACACCAGTGGAACTGTGTCAAGAAAGTGTGCAGGAGTTAGCGCCTCAAGATCTGCCGGATTCTCTGAAAGAGGGAGTAAAGGCCGTGAGTTTACAATCGCCGCAATGTGGCAAACGAGAGTGCGCAATTCATCGAACGATAATAATGATGGGCCAACAGAACGGTAGAAATGAGATTTGGCCGTCTCCCAGAGACCTCCAAAGTGAGGTGAACGAGGGGGAATAAAAGGCCACTCAATCGAATCTTCCAGGCAGAAATCTTCAATCGCTCGAATGTGGGGGCTCGATATGAACAGATTCTTCAGCTCAGCTAGCTCGTTCTTGGCTCCAACGAAGTTCGTGGCATTATTCGACCATATTCGGACAGGTTTGCCTCTGGTGAGAATAAACCGCTTCAGTGCTCCCAAAAATGCTTGTGTCGAAAGATCCTGGACAAGCTCCAGATGCATCGCTTTCGTCGCGAAACAGATGAAAACGCAGACGTACGTTTTCCCAGGCACCTTGCTTCGAACTCCGGTTTTGTAGTAAAATGGACCGCAGGTGTCCAGACCAGTAACCATGGACGCAGACGTGGCGTTTACACGATCCTTGGGCAAGTCAGCGATTATGTGTTGAGAAAGCTATGGTTTGCACGAAAGCAAATGACGCATTTGGACGCTGCAGCTGACACTGTTTTCCGGCCACCTATCGGCCAAAACTGAAGGCGCATGTGAGCAAGCAGAGCTCGTGGACCAGAATGCAAGTTCCTCCGATGCAAGTCCAGTATAATGGCACGTGTAACTGGATGCTGGCGTGGCAGTATGACAGGATGCTGCGCATTGTAATCCAAGGTCGAATTCTGTAGACGGCCACCAACTCGCATCAGACCGAAGCTATCGATGAATGGCAATAGAGAGGACAACGGGCTGGATGATGAAATTTGCTGCTTAGAATGCAATCTCCAGTAGTCATCAGCCAGGTTGCTCATTTGGATAGCAAGACCAGGACCTCTTTTAAGGTGTGCAAATTTGTATTCGAATCCGAAAGTGTGGGTAGTCTTTTGACAGGAGTTCACGAGATTGCGTTTTAAGGGTAGATCCACTTTGGTAGAGACGCCAACCAAAATGCGCTTTCTGAACTCGGGAGGAGTCTTCACAGGCAAACAAGATTCGGGCCAATCGTGCTGATTCTTGAGAAGGATCGCTGGACCTCTGAACCAAAGGGCAGAATCCAGAAGCTCACTCTGGGAAGCTCCTCTTGTCAAAATGTCGGCTGGATTGCAGTCAGTCAAAACCAAGTGCCAACTCATGCCACTGGATAGCTTCTGAATTAAAGATATTTGATTAGTAACAAATACTTGAAAGCGTGAATGTTCATAGCTTATCGATGATAAAGCTCCAGCAGAATCAAAGAGCTTCATGTTGCGTACGTCCCGCATCAGTTGCGTTAGTGTCAAGGCAGTGCAGAACTCCAATTTGGAAACCGTAAGAGTCTTCCAAGGTGCCACACGAGACTTTGAAAAAAGTAGATGCACCTCGCCATCAGCATCTGGATCCAACGCACGTCGAAGAATCTCCATTTGATGGGTACGACCCATGTCGGATGACAACTTCAGCCACGATGTGTTGAGTGCCTGTGGAAAGCTCTCATCCCACTCCAACTTTTCTCTCCAGACTTGTTGCAGGAAGATTTTGGCCTTGGCAACTACAGGACCAATGAGACCAAGAGGATCGTAAATCCGAGCAATTGTGGACAGCACCAGTCGTTTACAAGGCTTTGGAGAGACCTGTATGGGAGAAAAAGAAAAACGAGAAACATCCGCTACAGGGTCCCAGGCAAGACCGAGCGTCTTGTCGCTGCTATCGTCACTCTTCAGGAATGTTTCCTTTTCCAAGTCAGGAATTTGATCACGAACGTCGTTGATTTCGAGGACCTCCTGTGTTGATTGCACTCTCTTCTCATCACTCGCCAATTGATGCATCGTTCGAACGGATAAAAGGGTTAGTTCCGCCACGGGAGCTCGCTGAACCTCGGACGAAGGCTGAGAGCCAGGGTGCAAAGGGCTATGACGCTTGGTCCCTTTTCGCTTACGCAATTCAACATTCAATTTTGTTTTTGTTGAGATAAAAAAAGCTCCTCGAAGTCATCGCGCACCATACTACCAATTTCACTAAAGTCCAGCCGCTCAAGTCTGTCATGGATCTGGGAAAAGGCAGTCTTGATCTCGTCGAAGCTCCAATTCCTCCTCGCACATTTCCTGGAGCTTGTCGGCAGTCAGGCCCTTTTCGAAGGCTTTAGCTTTCGAAAGCATGGAGCCAGCCTTCAATTTATAAATTTTTGCTTCCGCAACTGGAGCAGCAAGCGATGTGTCAGTTGACATGTTGTTTAATTGGCTTTGGAACTTTCAAAATTAGTCACTTGCGAACTGATCTAGTCCCACTGTGCACTGATAAGCGCCAAAATTGTGCGTCTATTTGAATATATATATATATATAGATATATATATAAGCACTGAACCCGCGAACAAAACGTTTGTCGCCGCTGTAAAACGTTTAAAGCGGGAACGACGGCACAAAAGAAAACGAAAATGCACTTTACAATGCGCGGGGGCGGGTGTGTGCGAGGGTTTAGCGAAGCTTATTTTGCGCGTATGTTCTGCTGCTATGTATGTATATGCACGATCACCAACTTTTAACGAACGAAAATAATAAATTATTTGTTCGATTTTTCGAATTTTTATTGTTTCAGTATCACTATCACGTCGGGGTCACCAAAATGTTGGGTCAGTAAGCTTTTTTACTAACCGTTACCTTGTGCCCAAGTAAATAAAAAACGCACAAATTTTAGCTTAAATAATGCACTTATTTATTACTGGCACCAAGGCCTTAAATTCACAGAGTTATTGTTTGTTGTAGATTTAGTTAGGCAGGCAGACCGAATTGTCTGTGCCTTTTTACAGCGATAAGGTATGTTGGGCGGGTAGACCGATTTGTCTGTGCCTTTTTGCAGCGAAAAAAGTATATTAGCAGGCAGACCGATTTGTCTGTGCTTTAGACGAAAGTATATAACCGAGATTTGGCAGGCGATCAGCGATCGTGCCTTGTGTAAGCGAGTACAGATTCGAACTGGGATGAAGCTTGCCGTGGACTAAGGCCAGGAAGCGATAAGCGAAAGAGTGCAAAAGTAGTTAGAAATGACAATTAGAACAGTGTTGCCGCGCAGGGCAAATAGCAAAACAAAAGGCAAACATCGAGAATTTGAATTACGTTACGATTTGAATTTAGTGACTGATTTAGGCTGCGGCATGACCGAACAATAGGTTTAATAACCTTTGCTCTGCAAGGGTATAAAAACTAAATTTATAATTTATATTAATTTTCAACACTTTTAATATATTAATGACAATTAAATTTCTAACATATCGACGCATTTCCGCAAAAGTATCGTATGTCGCTTTTTTTTTCGAAATTTAGATTTTAATGCAAAATTGTTAGGCACCTTACATATGTCTCACTACCCTGTGAAATATAACTGAAAGCCCTATAGTTCTGATAAAAATGAAGTTTCAATTTTATCGTATGCTACAATGCTTTTCAATGTGCGCGCGAAATTATCGTATGTCCATACAAATTTTTTTTCATTTGCATGGAAATACTACAATCGCACAAAAATACCGAAATACAAAAATAAAGAAAAAGCTTCTCCTGTAAAATTTGATTTTTCAACATACGATACATTCGCGGAAATGCGTCGATATCTTCCTTTTTCCCTTTCTTTAAGTCTCGGAAATCTAAAGTTTTAGATTTCTATAAATATAGATAAGACTGATAAATTACTTCGCCAAAGAAGTTTCACTTCTGACATGTGTACTTTGTAGGCACGCACTTTTTTTTTTATTTTGTTCAGCTCCTCCTTCGATGCCGTCATCAAGCGTAGCATAATGTCGTCCTTTCATGGGCCTCTTCAGTTTGGGAATCAAGAAAAAGTTACTGGGGGCCAGATCTGGAGAATACGGTGGCTGCGGACAAGCAACGATGTGTGAGCAGGGGCATTATCGTGGTGCAAAAGCCAATTTTTGTTCTTCCACAAATCCGTGCGTTTCTGGCGGATTGTTTCGCGCAAATTGCGCATAACTTGCAGCTAATATTCCTTATTGACCGTTCTTCCCTGTGACAAGAACTCATGATGCACCACGCCCCTGCAATCGAAGAAAACTTTCACATTCGACCGAACTTGGCGCATTTTTCGGTTTTGGTTCGTGCGGCAGCTTCCATTGAGATGATTGAGCTTTGGTTTCCACGTCGTAACCATAAACCCACGATTCGTCTGTAATGGTCGCCTTGAAAGCACCATTTGAAATCGCATGAGAGGTTAAGGTACTTTTATCGCAGCTCTGTCGACGAAAAGGTCGCATGCGATAAAAGAGGCTTTGGTACATTGGAATTATTCGTTCTCTTGTTCTGAGAAAACAAATGCAGCTGGAAATCATAGAAAGCTCTCTCTATCGATGCTACCAATTTTGGCTATATAAGCAGAAGCCACTGCAAGCTCGATCTCTTTTTGATTGCTATTGCTGATACCACGAGTTGTATTTTTATGCGGGTATTGCATTTTTCCCCGTCGCCAACCACGTGTCCCACTAATTGTCCAGTGGACAAATCCAAAGACATCCACGTCAAGAGCAGATTTTAGAAACCCCTGGTTTGGTGCAGGAGGCACCCGAGGTAGGTGAAAACTTGTTGCCGAAAATCTTGATAGAGATTTTCTCTACATTTTTGTTCCATATTCACAGATCTCACCCTCACCAATATAGCCCCGAGATAGTGAGCGCATGGTACAGCTCCAACTCGGCTATTGGTGAGATCAATATTATCCACGTTTGTGTGAGCAACACACCATTCTTTTCGACGAAATTTGGCTGATAAGTTGTGTAAAATTCTTTGAGAGAAATTGGCCCGCGCATCTTCTTCCCCTTGGTAGGAGGAATTAGAGGATAAAAAGAAGTACCGCCTCGTCGGCCACAGCCCACAGCGAGAGTTCCCAAAAAAAGCACATATAAAACAACCAAAAAGTGAAAAAGTGAATGCTCCCAAGAACAGATAGAAAGAAAAAATTATAAGTACCCACGTAAAGCGAAAAAGATTACAAAGTTATAAAAGAAAAAGAAAATCAAGGGACTACACCGTTAATAAGTTAAAAAATAAATTGTTAAAAAAATAAAATCCATTGATCTGAAAGTGTGTGATATAAAAGTTTCATTATCATAAAAGACCCGATCAGTATGTACAGTGCCATCTGTTTATTTTGAATTGTTTATTACATGCCAATAATTAATTAGAAAAATTAAAATTTAAAAGATTTTTTTTTCGTGTACCTATAAAAATATAAAAATAAATAGAAAAAAAATTATCAAATGAAAATCAATAATTAAAACCCAGCTCAAACCATAAACATAACTTTTCCACTCTCCTACTAACAATAACACTCAACACAAATACACAAACAACATAATCAACCCTCGCTGAAAGGCCTTTCAACGCTGGAGAACAAATGTAAGTTTGGACAAGTTTCTTTCTACTTCTCTTTTGACCTATCATGAAACATACATAGCTACACGCTTATCGTACGCTTTGGCTATAAGCGTGTGATCTGCGTTTACATACATACATCTCTCTTATCTTTTGCTGCTTTTGAAAACTGACCTGCGCAACAATACAAATTATACGTTTTGCAATATGTTAACCCTTATGTTAACCTGAAAAAAACATTACATGGAATTGACAAACAATTGTTTCTTTTAAATATTTCGAATTTTGTGTACACTTAAAAAAAAAAAAAAAAAAAAAAAAACCGAATAAAAATTTTAGAAATATAGGCACACATTAAAATAAACAGAAACACACCCCCTAAAATGAACATAAAACCACCAACGTATTAAAACCAATATATATCACCACTTTTAATAATTACCCACCTTGATAATAAAAAATGAAAATATTTTGAATAATGCCTTACACTTAGCTAAAATTATTAAGAAAGAAAAAATGAAACTACGTATACCCACATATATTTAAAATGTATACATCGCATCTACTTATATTTTTAGGATTTAATTTTTGTTAATTTTCTTTTATATTAGTAACTTGTTTACAGTGCTTATTAAAGTCATTAACGTTTAGAATGATAGTTATTAGACATTTAAAATGAATAAAATTTGTAATGAAGTTGAAATGAATTGGTAAAGTTAGTTTTGATTTCCTGAGGACCTGGTGAATTAAAATGATGTGAATTGAATATTTTTGGGGATTTTCGACAATTTTTAATCGCGCAGAAAATCCAATTGGTTGGGTGGGTAGAGAGCGCATAGGATCTATTAACATCTTTGATCCTCCCACAATTGACAAATTCGCCTTTTGTTGTGTTTCGGAGTTAAGCTCCAGTTATCTCGTTTAATTAGGAACTCTTATTTTAAAATTTTTGTAAGTGAGCAGTCGCGAAGGAAAAAGAATGAGCAAGCCCACCCCCACACGCCGAACTGAGTTAAATATAGGCAACCAGAAGAGTTCCGCCTGCTTCTTTCGATCCTCGGTATCAGCTGTTTTCTTTTGGAAGGCTGATTTGACTCCAGTATGCCCTGTCCAAATTTTTGCATACTGAGCACTCCCTGGAAGTGCTTTCTCACAGCTACTACATAAATTTTTGGCGCCCATACGTGAGGCCAAGGTCGAATATTTTTTTTGATTTTGGTCACCACCACCCAGGAGCTATAAGCGATTCGCGAGAAAAAGTTGTTTTCATTGGCTAAAGTTTATAGTTACCTACTCTTTTGTTTTGAGTCAGCATAAAAACATCTATTGCTTTGAATTTGATTTGATTTTGAGTTTGCGGTTATTTATAGACTTCTGTTGAACTTGCGTATTTGCGTTTTACTTTATTTACCCTGCCGGAAGAATATAATGATCGAGAAGTGAATCAGTTAAA